AGAGAGAGAGAGAGAGAGAGAGAGAGAGAGAGAGAAATGTAGGCATGAGAAAGCTATTTTCCAAAAGCAAACAACCAGAAGCGATTTGAACACAAATGCATCGCAAAATGGCATAATCTAATGTGTAAATTGTTGCTCCATCCGCCCTCTTTCTCAGATCCGATGAACGAAAATTATTGGTTTGTTAATCTAATAATGAAATCTCGCTGCGGAAATTAATGCACATTTTAGAAGTTCTCTCCTGAGCGTTAAAAATGTTAGAGTAGTCTGACTGAACTGATTCCAGCATCTTTCAAGCAGACTGTGTTTATGAATAAGGACTAAATAAAAAAAAATGTGTTTTTGGTCCCAACCTATGTATACCACATCTACATACATTACACGATCATTCTGAATAGCAAAATTTTGTAAATCGAACCTCGTTGATCAAATCTTTCTCTTTTTACATTCCTGCAATAAAGATGTTGGAAACTGTTTTTCTCATTATAAACGATAACATTATTTCACTAATGAATAATAAAATTAATTATAATTGCAAGTCAACATACTATATATTCATTCACAAGATTTTATTCGATAATGTTAACAATATAGTAAATTATTTTTTATGATCGCGATAGGGTGAGATAATTGTGATTTATTTATTGTGAGGATCCTACCTTTCAATGCCTAGCAAAATATGCGATTGTGGGAAATTGCTAGTCAGTCCTTCAGTCTTCGTAATGCTTTGAGAAACGGTATTTGAAATGAAAGTCAAAGGCTTATGCAATTCGATTTAAATTTGATTGTAGCTTTGTTGATGAAAAAAATTGTTTTTCTCATCGCATTTTATTGAATGGAGGTGTGAGTATTTTATCTCAACCTTCTTTCAAACTTAGATATGTTAAATTTATCATTTCGTTTGTAGTATGCAAAAGTATCTGTGTGATGTATGTGTATATGTATATATTAGATTTAGCAGATGATTCCTAGTTTCCGAATGTGGTCTGAAACGGTTTGTTGAATTGAATCAAGCCTCTTCGCAACTCGTGAAACTCGGGCAAGAAGGAATTTGCTCTAATATGATCCTGGTAGAATATTGTTGTTGATTGTGGCTTAATCAAAAAGGCCGAAATCATCGGTTCCACATTTTTCGAACCATCTTCTGCAGTTTCCATCAGAAATTGGAGCTTCACGAAATATTTTCAATAAATTTCTAGACGATTCTCTAGCATTTCTCCCAACAAAATACAGTGACCTAAATGTATTTTATCAGTAGCCATCGATAGACGACCGCACCTCACTTAATACTAATATGAATCATTTTCGTTTTGGTGCATCGTATGTTAGGTCAGTACGCATACATTCAGTGATATAAAGCGAGATCGAAATATGCGTGAAATTAATATGTGCATACTTGTTGGAACTTGTTGTAACCGGAACAAATAGAATTTTTCGGTACACCTATTACATATATAAATGTCTACTTTTGAAGATAAAAAAAAACATGTACGTATGAAGTATATATGAGTCGGATACATTATTACAAATAGCCTAAGCTAGTTTATTTGAATATCGATTTAAGGATTTTTTTTCAACCACAAACCTACATGTAAATATGTACATTTTATGCGCATGAGTAGCCGAATAGGCAGACGATCGCGACTAATAGCTAAAAGGTCGCGGGTTCAAATCTCAACTGCGGCAGAGTTTACAATACAGGCGATGAGCGATGATAATCTAAGTTATCCGGCAACCTTTTTCAATCAATAATTTGTAAAATTATTTACAAAATGTATGTATATACATATATCAAACAATAATTCAAACAATTTTAAACTGCTTATGAATATGGATATTATAGCAGAATAGAAAAAAGTTCCTCATATATTATATCATATGCTTGGATTATGAAAGAATGTCTGTCTGTAATAGAGATGAATTATCTATTTAGCTATTATCTCCTTGCCATCAGTCGATTGCTCGCATTTTCAAAGTTGACGAACTAATCGCAACTAATAGGTTTCATGTAAATATTCGTACAAATCATATTTCATCTAAAAATGCTTTCAATCACTTCGAAAGTACACATCGCACAAACAACGCACAAATAATAAAAATTTTTTTGGAAAAAAGGAAAAGATGGATGGGTGTCTGAGATTCGTTCAAAGGTGACTGACTATACAACTTCACTTTTTTTTTTTTTTAATTTCCTTTCGTTGTTTGCCTTTTGACTTTGGAGAAAAAAGTTTCCTTTATGGGAAAATCGCGAGATTATCTCGTATGAATGTGGGAATTTTAGTTGTTTTTTTTTGCTTTTTCGTGTTACAACAGAATGTAGTGGGGAGTGACTATTATAGCGTTAGCTGCACATTTACATCAAAATTTTGAGAAATATTATATACTTAAGAGTTTCATTTGTTTTGGGAGGTTGTGTACGGTCGTATTTAATTGGGTATCGATCGATGCTTTTACGATGATCGGACTGTAACTGAAAAAAAAAAAAAAGAAATGACAAAAAAAATTATGTCATTACACTTTTTTAAATTTCAGTAGGAGAAAGTTATTATGGTTAAGATTTATTGCGACGTTGATCCAATAATGCAAGCGCGATAACGCGATTTTTCTTTTCAGACTAAAGAAAAAGCTCAACATAACTAAGCAATTTGTATACAGACAGCGTATTATTGTAAATGTTACGAATTATAAATGATTTCTTCGTTGTCGTTCTTTTGTTTTGCAGATCGCTATTAAAGATGAGGTTTCAGAAAATTTGCTTATTGGCAGCGACACTATTGCTGATAAAGGTAAGTTTTTAAATAGAATATAACAGAAATAATAATATGCGAAACAATATAAAAAAAGCGTAGTGTAATCACGACTTCAAGCTTACGAAATGAAAGTTATATGTATTTGCGGTATGTGGGCGTGGCAGTTAATCGATATCATTTATAGAAATTTTAAAAACCTTTCCGAAATAATTGTATCACGCACGCACACACACACGCATACACACATGCCCCTACACACGCACACACACATGCCCCCACACACACAAATAAAAGTGTTTAATCAAGTCAGTTTGAGTATAAATTGCTTATGATAAGCGCGTAGTGTATAGTTTCGGACAGATCACGAGCATTTTCAATTTTGATTCGTAACAGGTTCCAGTTCTTTATACAATTTTGTGGCCGTGAGCATCTTATAGTTTCACAGCTATTTGTCGGCAAGATTAGCCGAGTAGGTAAGAATCGCGACTAACAAGTCAGTATTCGCGCGTTCAAATCTCGGTGCGTTAGGATCTGCTTTGCCCGATATAACACTTACCAAATGGGCTCACTAGCCTGCGGCCATCCCCCTATATTTTTCCCTTTCTTCACTTTTTCTTCTTTCTCGCCTTCACCATATAGCACATACCCTAAATGATTCGAGCATTTGAAAGAGAAAAATAAACAGTTCTACAGTTCCTTAGTGAGGCGCATTCAGTGATTAAATCGGCTTGGTAGTGATAATTTTTTATGCGTACTCATATTTGCTGCACAAAGAGAATCGCGACTGCTAGATTAGTGTTCGTAGACTCAGATCTTACTGCAGTCGAGTATAGTTGGTCGTAGCTATAGTGATCGCTCTGAAACGGCAAAGGCATAACGCTTATTGACGCAGGCACACGCTCTCTACACTGCACCTACATTCTATCAGTCTTTGTTTCTCGTCGTCAGTTCTTTTTAGTCGTCACCATATTGCACTTAAAGAGGATAGAGGCTAAAAAAGAAATAAAAAATCCTGGGCACAAATCTAAAACATACTCAAATAACTACAGTGACTATAAAACCAAATTTTATATCCCCTTTATACCAAGAATCGAATCTTGTCTCTATTCTGTGTTTGTGTCCTCTTATATGTATGAAATAGAAATATTCTGTCGAGGATATCACAAAATGTATAAATGCTTTTTTTTTCTTTTGTTAAGCTAAGACTATAAGTTGATTTGTAACTGTCTGCCTGTCCGTCCGTATTCTTTTGCTTTCCGATCTCTCTAGGGAAAGCTTAAGGTTGCAAAAATTAGGATAGAAAGATGAAAGTGTGCGCACTTATGCTTAGTTCATGAACACAGATTGTGCTTGAAAGTGGGTAATACCCATCTGTAAATATATCTACGATAGAATAAAAACGTATAGTCTACACTTGATAGCAAATGTTCGCCTAAAAGTCATTGTAAGCATTGCGAAAACTATTTAAATAATTCAGCAGAGAAAAGCAAAAACCCATCCAACTTGTAGTTGTAAGCAAGGTTGATCTAAACTTCGATATGTTTTCTGAAGCCAACTAAAATGTCGATCCAATTAGGCACACTCTGGTTGCACAATATATTTTACCATCATATAAGGCATTGTTCGGAGCTGTTCGGATGAATTAAAGGTTTCGTCCTAAAGAGAATGTCACCTTTTTATCGGCTAAGTATGGAGTGGGGTACTGCTATGCACGTATTATCTATATTAACATTATTTTAGAAAGCTTTCTTTCAACTTTTTTTTATTTAATTTTCTTTTCTTTTTGATTTTGCTTGCTATGCAACATGACGAAACTTTTTGGGTAAACGTTTTAAAATGAAACTAACGCTGATTTAAGCTTGACGTGAACGCGTTCATTAAAGTTGAAAAACTGGAGAATTTCGCGCGATAATGAAAAGCCTTACCTATGTTATCTTTACACTTTTAAATTACATATTGCACTTCCCGTGTTGTGCTCAGATTCAAATTCATGTGGGCATTAGCTTTATTCCATACGATGGGCATAATTTAATCGCTTCAAAATGTTGCGCTGACGCAAGCGACTAAACATCTAACTCTGCTTTTATGCGGTTAATATGTTAACAATGAAAATAAAAGAGGACGAGTCAGAATTCTATAACTGCTAGAGCAGAGCTATAAGTTTTGCGTTCAATAATTTCTTTTTTTTTTGTTTTTTTAATACAATTTCGGTATTGGTGTCAGCTAAAAAAAAAAGGTGTTACCATAATACTTCACTCAATAAGTGCATGAGATAACGTATAGATGTTGGATGATAGTACCAAGCTTCAAAGGAAACGTGTCAAAATTATCCGACATTCCGACCATTACTTCCATTTGCCTTAGAGACGCTACACGCGAAATTGAAATTTTCCCTCTGTTTTACGATTTATCATTAGCAACGGCATGCAACGGCATATATCGTCCTACGAACTTATTGGGTGATAAAATTAATTAGTTTGTACAAGTATTGCAATATTGAAAAATAAAACATGTTCGTGCTATAAGAACTTCTCTAAAGTTACGGCTACGCAGACAGACAATTACAAATATCGTTCTTTATGAAAAACAAAAAAAAGTGCTTATAAGTGCCTTAATACCCTAAGGTGAAGCAATCATCGAAAGATGAAAGATGTATTCATTTTGTCGAAACGTTTGCAACGCCCAGAAGCAAGCATCAAAGAACCTAAAAAGTGTGTTTATTCTTGATCAGCATCAAATTCTAAATTGATATAAGCATGTGCATTTGTCCGTCTGTCTATCTGTCTGTCCGTGTTTGTAACGTCTGTTGTAAACATTCTCCTCACCACAAAAATGAAGCTCTCAACTTCAAATTTTGCAGAAACATTGTAAGTTTTTGTACACAGATTGGTATTGAAAACGGGATAAATAGCTCGAAGGACACGCCCATAGCACAACGTAAGCTGAGAGCGTTTCTAATTTTTAAAAGGAATTAAAAATCGGTTTTTTGTTCATTACGCATTAGATGAATGTGCCAAAAATTATGACCCAAGAGAAGGATGAACTTGTTTTTATAGCGCACATAATGTTATTTATGGACTGGAATAGCACAAATTTCGAAGGTAACGGCAAAGCGACTCCTATCAAGAGGACAAGTGAAGAAACAACTTAAACAATTGCGAAGACGAAATACAAAATGAGATTGAAAAGATGATTGCAATGATGCAGTAGATGTCCGAAAAGTTAGCTGACACAACGACTCTTTCAAAGATTCTTTACGCGCGCCATTGAAATTCAAAATAGATTCTGCTTGATTTCCTCCAAAGATAGTCACATCATGCTATTGGAGCATAATAACATAATCAATTGTGAGATAAAAATTCTGCATCATGATGACAATGTGCATACGGCACATACAACATACGTATTTTTATAAGGGAGAAGCTGGAAATGTTGAAACGTTTCTCTTACGCTTGTAAGAGACGAAGAGAATTTTCGCAACAAATGTTTAAAAGCTACAAAATAAACACTTGAAAAGCATGAAAATTAAATTTTGGAATTTTTGTCGCCAAATTGCAAAACTATTATGAAAAATGATTCAAAACAGTGCATGAATGTGTTGAATGAAATAGAGAGTGCGCCGAAAAACGAAAACAAAACAAACAAAAAATGAAAAAAAATTAACCGGTTTTTTAACTGCAGGCGCAAAATTTGCAATGTTGTCTATGTGCAAACTAAAATAGGGAATGATTTTCGTATGCCTTGCATCCAAGAGTATTATATCGATTTTTTCATATTTATATAATTACTACTATGATCAAAAAATCAGATTAATTTGGTTATAAAATAAAAAAAAAAGCCACTTTCCACATTGATTTCGTTGCCTTCAAAATGCTCTCCCCGCCCGATACAATTCCATTCCATAGTCAAAATTTAATACAAATTCTTTGCTCGATAAATTCAGATCAAATGAAAACCGCAGAAACTAACTGTAACTCTAATACTAACTTCCATATAAATGTCAAGAAGGCTACTACTACCAGTGCCAGTCTAAAAAAAAAAAAAAAAAAAAAATTTTACGGTTTCATGATGATATCATAATACTATTAGGAGGATTAAGTAAAAAAAATTCACCTTATTTTTTGATCATAACACTACATAACTCGGATGTTATTTTTAAAGCAGAGACATGTATGCATACGTGTATCCTCGAAATTAAATTCAAACGATATTTTCAAACGCGCTAAAAAGTGCAATAATATCGTGTAAAATGGGGCTGGGCATTTTCTATCTTACACGTTCAGTAGCAGAGAAATACTAAACTTTGCAAACTTTGTTCTGGTTGCCAGCCTTCAAGCGAATCCATATTCCGTTCATTGTCATATATTGCAGCAGTGCTCTGATTCATCAACACATTCTTGATTTTGG